TTTGCGATGTTTTTTTCAAAGAAAACCAGGATACCTGCTGATGAGGCAAACCTGTCAGTGAGCCTATCCAAGCCTAGATATGGGAGAAAACAAGGCCCTACGACAGAAAACTGGAGAAAATTAGAGGACGTTACCATGTTACAGAGCTCTTCATTACAGCTTCTAGAAGGGAAACCTTTCGTGTTTTCATTATAAAAAGGTGACTAAAAAGGAACCTTTTTAGAAACTTTTTCTGTCAACAAAAGCCATTTTCCACTGATGGGGGAAGCAAAAAAATTATAACTCTTAAACCAGTGAAAATGTTTGGCCAGGTCTGTATCTTACCAATCAGAACAATGAGTCTCTGCTTTTCTCCAGGCTGTTGCTGATACTTCGTGACTTCTTCATATGTTAGTAGCTCCAAAGTGTCTGCTTGTTCCGTCTGCTTTGCTTCAGTCTGGTTGTTCTGTTTCTCCTTTCGACTTAATCTAAAGCTCCTCCGCAACCCAGCTAAAGAGCGAAGTATCAGATATGTTAAATCAAGTCTCATCCCAGCTCACTGGCTAAACTGCTTAAACTTCTGTTGCTTGTGTGGTTTTTCATAAAATCATAGCGCTGGAAGGTTATCTAATCCAGCCTCCTGATCAAGGTAGGATCAGCCTGACGTGTTTGCCTAACCTAAGTTTTAAAACTTCTGGTAATGGAGATTCTGCAGTTTCTCTAGGTAATTTGTTCCAGTGCTTAACCACCTGGCAGTTAGAAATTTCTGCTTAATATTCAACCTAAATTTTCCTTTATATAATTTGAGACCATTGCTTCTTTTCCTTTCTCTGTATCCACAGAAATCAATCAATCAATCAATCACAATCCTCTTTATAAAAACCCTCTTGATATTTGAAGACTATTATCAGCTCCCTCACAGTCTTCTCTTCTCCAGATTACATAAACCCACTTCTTCCAGCCTCTCCTTCTACACCACATTTTCTGGACCTTCAATTTATTTATTTATGCTTGTTCTCCCCCTCAGTTGGTTTCTCTACTGTCTCCTTCAGAAAGCTGCCTCCAAAACCAGGGGTCAGCAACATATGACCCATGGACTGAATCCAGCCATTGCATCCAGCCTGGGAACTGGGGTGAGGGGCTTTGCTCATCCCATGACTAGATAACAGGGAGAAGTTGCACTGGTGGTGGCTGGATCAGAAGCACTCGCCTGCTTTGGACCTGAATCAAGTTGATATGGCTTGTCACTGCAAAACTTTGCCAACTGCTGCCCAAAACAATCCAAAACTTGTTTGATTATTTGTGCAATGCTGATATCCCAGCAGATATCCTGATAATTAAACTCCCCTGTAAGCACTAAGTCCTGTGATTTTGCTATCTGAAGAATCCATTTTAAAAAAGTGCTTCCTTCTGATGTGAGAGTCTATCACAGCATCTGTGATAGCAGTTTTCCCCTTTACTTTAAGCATAGACTTCAACAGTCCAGACAAGCAGGGGTGTGCTCTCACAGCAGCACAAATAGTAGCAGCACAAATTTATGCTGCAATGCATGCCCCTCCACATGCAGTTTGTTGAGGGACAGATTGTCCTACTTCAGGCAAAACTGCCCCTGGCCAGCCCCTCCTGGCTCCCGGTCGGATTCCTGTGTGGAGGGTTGGCTGGGGCATAGCATGCCTCAGTGTGGGCCTAGCCAGCAGGCAGCCCCCATACTGAGGTGCCCAGTGCCCCAGTCAGCTAGGAAGCAGCATGTGGAGACAGGGAATTAGGCTTCTTTTGCATGCTTTGCTCCACTTTTTTATCAGGGCCTTTTTCTTTTCTTTTTTTAACCACTGGCAAATTCTGGGAGCAAATTTTGCCACTGCACTGCAAATTAGTAGTGCAGTGCATGGTTTAACGTGCTAGGCGTATGGTTTCTGGTGTCACAAATTGCATGTGCATGTATGTGTGGACATGGCCTGTGTCTCTCACTCCATTCTTTGCCTCAATACAAATTTATGCATCTTTTAATATAAAAGGCAACCCCACCTCATTTTGTTCTTACCTGTAACAATAAAACAAGTTGAACTCACACTCTTGACAATATTCCAGTCACATGAATTATTCCATCAAGTCTGTTATTCCATTAACATCATTTTGTGTACTTCCCCACATGCGTTTCTCTAACATAAACAACTTAGAAGACTTGCTGATTGCCCTACTAATTTCCATCTCACAATATTGTTAAGGCTCCTCATTGTCTTTTCTTCCTTGGCCTTCATTCAGGTCTTTTTGTTCTTTATTTGTTTGTGATCTTTTGTTTCCATCCCTCACTGAACCTAGCTTAAAGCCCTTTTTATTATATTAGCAATATGCCTTGCTTCAGGAAAGACTAATTTGTTGTTTACAAACAATTTGGTGCATAGTGTGCTTCAGTATAGAAGGGAATAGTGGGGTCCTTAGAAAGCTGTTGAAAGGACACAACGGACTCCTTCAATACAGCAAATTATAAGAAGACACACATTCCATAGCAAATTCAGATGACAAATGTGTATATTTGCTTACATGATGGGAAACTGTTCAGGGTAAGATGTATTTGAGTCTCCAAAACAAAGGTTGAATTTTTGTTGAATCTCTTGGCCTCAAACGAAAAGTCAGATTGTGGCTTGTACCTCTACACAATCTAGTTAACACAACTTGCACAAACCTAGAGAACTGATAAGCTGCTCTAAAACAAAAGCAATAAGATCCATGCCACATTCTACAGGGAAGACAAATGGGAATTAGGCTTCTTACCTATATATTGCCCGTTGAAATATCCTTCACAGTCACAGTCTTCTGTTAACAAAATGAGAAAAAGGAAAGATAAACATTGCACTGTGCCTTACGTTACATAGTTTGGGGAAAGCTCTGTGTCCTCTATTACATACAAACCATTTTCTACAAAAATGTTAGTGGCATGGAAAAGGGCTTATCCCTTGCCTAGTAGCTTATATAAGCACAATTAGCTTCTATATTCAGATAACATTTCAGAATTTGAGGTTTCCTGTAGATGTGTATTCCTTAGTGTTCACCATATCTGTTACTCAGGTTGTTAATATTCATGATGTTGCAATGTCCACTATAAGCCTACAAAAAACACAAAACAAAACACTTCCCCACTCAAAGAGGTAGGGTTCTAACTTCTCCTGTGCATCAGTGGATCTGATTAGCACAGGATACTTCCTGCTCTGAGGCCATGGGCAGACGTTACATTTGCAGCACTACAAATGCCCTGGTAGCAGTGAAAGCAGTGACTGTTCACATTGTCTATGGTATGAAAAAAGTGGCTGATCTGCAACCAGAGCATTCCTTTCAAACACAAACTTCTTGGTAGTGCAATATTTTGTCACACATGTAATATATACAGTTCCAGGTAGTCCTACAGGGCGGGTCTTAGCCCTCCAGCATCCCAGAAGACTTTACTCTCCACCCCCGATGAGCTCCAGGGCGTGTCTGTGATTTACACCAAAGTCTGTTGCCCAGGGTTGGGAAAATGAACTCATATGTCATCATCAGTCACAGTCACTTGCTACTAAGTACTCAGGCACACCAAGCCCTCTCATGACCCATGCACTACTGCAGGGCTGTGCCGTGACAACGGAGAGGGTACATGCCTTCCTGGGACACATGCAGGAGAATGGATCTGAAAGCACATCGATTCTGTGTAAAGGGCCTTGTAAGCTACAGGCAAAAACTGCAGTGCTGTAGAGCCCCTTTCCTGTGCTGCTGCCAAGTATTTTCCAGACCCTCTAGTCTCTCTCCAGAGTATGCAGGAGGCTGACAAGCTCTATACGTGCATTCCTTCTCTCCCAACCCCAACACTTTTCCAAGAGATGGAGTGATAATGGAAGGGACATCAAGCTGTGGAGTCTGTGGGAACAGAAGGCACAGGCAGAAGTGACAATTTCAGTAATGCCAATGCTCGCAGAAAAATCATGAGACTCCTAATTTCCAAGTCAAATTAACTCTGACTTATGATGTCCGAATAGAGAGATCAAATTATGGGATTTTTTCTTCTGGCATATGTAGAAAGCACTGAGCTGGTAAGTCTGTGAAGGAGAAAGAGTGAAGGGGAGAGGGGAGGGGCGAGGGGGCCCCCCATGGTAAGGGAGGGCGTGGGGCAGGGGCTGGGGTGAATGGGACCCTGAGCCCAGTCATGCGACAAGAGCTGTGGGCAGTTCGTCCAGGAGCACGGGGGGAATTCGTATGTGGGGCAGAGGCGGGCTGGGGCTCTGTGCCCTGCTGCCTTTGCCCTGGGAGTCGAACACTAACCGTGCTGCACATCCCCTGCCCACCTGATGTTGTCATGTGGCTCCCAAGGCAAAGGCAGCAGCGCATAGAGCCCCAGCAGACAGCCTGCCTCTGTCCCGTACACAAATCCAGGGGGCACGTGCCCCCCACGCCTCCCCCAGGGGTGCATGCAGTGGCAGGGAGCCGCACCCCCATACTGTGCTCCTGGACAAGCCACACACGGCTTTGTCACACAACCTGCCCCAGCCCATCTGCGTATCAGTATGTGTCTATGTATCTGTGTCTCTTTGTGTCTGCCCCTCACTCCCAAGCCTCAGCCCCCCCAGCCCTGCTGCTGCCCCTCACTCCTGACCCACAGTACCCTGCATCCTACCAGGGTGTGCAGGGAACCCCCCGCCTGCCACACACACCCACAGCTCCCCACACCTTCCCAAATAATGCCCCCCCACACACACACTTGAAAAATAGCATCTCATGATTTACATTCCAAATCTCTTGATTTTTACGATTTTGTCTCATGATTTTTGACATGGTGAGGCTGGCAATACTGCAATTTTTGCCTGATCTGGCCACAAAAAGTGGTCTATAGCCATGACCAAACACAAGTGCACAGTTGCAGACAGCTTAAAAAATGGCTCATGGGGTGAAAATCTGAATCCTCATTGCATGAGGGGTCAGATGAAGACATTTCAAAACACAGTGTTTTCTGTAACTCCTGTTTGCACTGCCTGCCAGCCTCAAACTGTTTTCAGCATGGGAGAGGAGAAAGGGAGCGGCAGAAGTTTGGTCTGGGGGGGTTTTCAGCCCCTACTGGAGAGTGGGACAGGTGTATTGGAGCACCCCCAAGGTGGTGGGGCTCCAATTCCCACCTCCAACCCCCAGTGCTAACTGGGGAACCCCTAGAACAAGCTCCCTCTGCTCTTTTTCTCTCTCCCCTTCTGAAAACATTGCGGCCTTGCAGGACAGAAAGGCCATTGCTAAAGGAAACCTGCTTTGGGCTGCAGCTAGCAGCTACATTCCTCCCCTGGAACCAACGGTGCACTTCTGTTTGGTTTGGGGAATTGCAACTCACAATGCTTCCTGCAAAGCGTTCTCAGTTACAGCAGGGAGCTGCACTTCTCTCTACACCCTAAGTATTTTGTTAACTGTGTGAACCACTGCCAATCCTGCAGCAGGTTTTTCAAGAGTTTCCCAGCAATTAAGAGGTACCTAGCTAATGGTGCACGTCACACCTTGTCATCACAGGATGCTAACGAATTAACAAGATTTGATACAGTCCCCAAGGCATCTTCTCTTTCCTTAGGCCTGCCCAACACCCACCTCGTCATCTCTCATCATGAGGTTCCTGTCTCAGCCAATGGGAAGGTTTGCCTTCTGCTCATTCCTCCCTCTGTGGGGAGGCTATCCCTGTCAGAATGTGACTGGGGAACCTAAGTCCCAAGCAGATGATACCCTGTTGCTGCCCCTGGCTCCCTTCCACCCAACTTCCCAGATCTCATGTGGTGAATAGTGGAGGTTTCTGGGAATGTGCAGTCCATGCCCAGCACTGGGGGCATGGGGTAGAGGGAAATCACATGGCTAACCTGGCTGCTTGCACAGGGAGCGGTTGCATGGTCATGGCAGTTGGGGCAGAAAGCCACCTTGGTTTCTCCCCAAAAATCTC